TCCTCTCCTCTCCTCTCCTCTCCTCTCCTCTCTCTTCCTTCCATACAGTTATAACCACCTTTACATGTCACTAATTCTGTGTTTCCCCCGAGGTCCTGTGCTTGTTCTGTCTGTGGACGTCTCTGGATCTGGAGCTTCAGGTCTCTGACCTCCAGCTGCTGGCCTCACTGACCCCCAAAATATTTATATTTATTGTTCTGTTCTATTGCTGCTCTCCATCTGCTATCCTGGTATCCCCACTCTCATCCAACCAGTCGAGGCAGATGGCCTCCTTCCCTAAGTCTGGTTCTGCCGAAGGTTTCTTTTCCCCTTCCTTGGTGGGTTTTTGGTTCTTTCCCACCGTTGCCGACTGCAAGAGTTTTAGTTTGTGCTGAATTGAGATATAACTGTATGGCTAATGTCAATAAACAATTGTCTATGCTTATCCAGGATGGGGCCCCTGTAGTGTGGAAATACTGAGTAGATATTGTATATTGGTGGCAGCTGTGCAGCATTAGATTGTTCTCTTGAATTAAGCCCAGAAAAAGAGGAAAGAAAGGACTTTAACAGTGTGGTATTAGTATTCTTACTTCAGTAAACAGGCTGCAGGGTGGCGCAGTTGGTTAGCACTGTTGCCTGCACTGTTGGTGATTCTAAATTGTCCGTAGGCGTGAATGTGAGTGTGCTTGGTTGTCTGTCTCTAAGTGTGGCCCTGCGATAGACTGGCGACCTGTCCAGGGTGTCCCCTGCCTTCGCCCTAAGTCGGCTGGGATAGGCTCCAGCCCCCTCGCGACCCTAATGAGGATTAAGCAGTGTATAGATAATGGATGGACTTAAGTAAACTATCGGAGTACTTCTTCTAAGACTGCCCATCTGTGTATATCAAGGCGAAGCAACACTCAATAATTAGATGGATTAATTGAATTTGAAAAATGTTTTTAATCAGTGAGGTTGCACAGTCTGAAAGAAAGCCCGGCTATGTTGAACTTGCTTTGTAGTACAGCCCTCTGGTTTGTGTGAGAAGTAGCAGCATATTGCTGCAGTCAGTGAAATGCTGCTAAAAAGGCAGTTAAGTCAACTGCAACAAGCCTCATCAAGCAGAATAACTACTGACAGTCTGTGGGTTATGTTCAGTCACAGAGGAGGGAAAAAAAAAAAAAAGAGTCTCTGTTCATGTTTCTTAATGAAATTTAATTAGGAACTGGTAAAAAAAAACAAATAAACAAGCAAAAATAAAAACAATTTAACAATTCTTACTGAGTCCTTCAGAATCAGATTTCAGAAGCAGTTCTTGATTCCCAACCCTAGTGTTGCGTTGGACTGGGACAGCTGCAGTTATAAATACTTGATTAGCAAAAAAATATGCTGTAAAAGGAGGTCCCTCATACTTCTGGCCTAATAAATGTTTTCTTTGTGCAACTCTATTTTATTTTGAATCTCTGCAAGAATGCAGAGTTAGCATGACCAACAGAGCCACAGTAGCCACATTCATGGTAAACTGTACCAGGTTGAAATAAACCAGAATTATCCTTTGTCACATTTCCTGTTTTCAGGTCAAAACTTAAAATAAAAAGAAAACTATTCATCTTGATGGGCAGCAGATCACAGTTACTCTACCGGGACTACACAAAGAAGCTGCTGCCTCTGGACCGTTACAGAGACAGACTGTCAGGCATTCTGCAATAAAACATTTTCTTTATTTTCACTCTTGGCAAGTCAGAAAATGATTGAAAAACTTTATTGTAGTGGAGATGGTAAGTAACCCCAGTCTTATGTTTCCTCCATATGACTCAAAGAGTCATGGTGGAGAGGCATTTGATTGATTCTAAAACTGTCTCCATGTGGTAGCAAGTACTCCCTCAACAGTCCTTTAATACAGTTTCTACAAAGGCTGATTGACAGCTTCAGAATATTTGTTCTATACATAAACACTGAAAATGGCTACAGAAAAAAATGCCAAGTGTCTCAATACTTACATGTCACTTTAAAGGATGTTTTCTGGGACGAACAAGAGCAAAACAGAAATATAGTACAAGAAGACATAACATTTCAAAAAGCATCCTGAGGCAAAACAACAGTGACTAATCTGTGAACAGAAAACTGACCTTATAATGAATCTTACCCATAAAAACAAAAAACCGGTATGGCTCATCCAATAGAAGTTATAACACAGTGGATGTGTGGGAACTGCAACATACAAGCATACAATATGAGCAGTTTCAGAAGAGACAGCACAAAGGGCTCTCCTCCCTCTGTGGTGTGTTTGTTCTCACATCAAATACGGTTCTATCAATTAATTAACCCATCCAAATGATGACTTCCCTTTCTGACTCACTACAGTGATATTATGCTGAACCCCAGAACATATTTAACAAATGATGACAAGAACTCACACTTGAAATGCATTTGATACAATAAAACTAAAGAAACTTGTGTCCTTAATCACAAATAGGAATTCCCTCATTAAAATACAAACATTTTGAATCAAAGTATTTTTCTTCAAAACAGCACAATACACAGTACAGTATGAACCAAAAAGAGTAGTATGCAAATAAAACATTTTTAAATCAGTAAAGTCATCAAAACACTATATAATAATATGTGTGTGTGTGTGTGTGTGGGTGTGTGTGTGTGTGTGTGTGTGTGTGTGTGTGTGTGTGTGTGTGTGTGTGTGTGTGTGTGGTAGCACTGATGGTTCTCGAGTTAAAACTCAATTTAACTGCTTATACATTGTAAATTCATGTGTGCATTAAGGGTGCAGGTTTTATAGTTTCTTAATTTAAAACCACTGGTTACAAAACATTTGAAAGACTGTGTATATGAGAGAAAGATCTTCTAACCCCATAAATCTTCAGTCCGTCCAAACTTGTAGATCAGAGTGCTACAGAGAAAAAAAACAAACAAACAAACAAAAAAACAAAACACACACATTAGAGTTTCCATGTATCACTCACTATGTTCAGTTGCACACAGGCAATACCAGTGTCAATCAGGCCTACAGTGTGTTGGAGCAACAGAAACTGCTGGATGCTATCAGTACATTTGGACAACAGAACAAGTCGCTGTAGTAAATAAATATTTTTAAACAATGTGCAGCATGCAAGTTTAAAAATAGCAAAGATAATCTTGTGCTTTCTCCGCTGCAAATGTGCTGATTTCCAGTATCATAGTGTAACAATGAAAATACAGCAATCATAGAAAACAGTCTCATGTTCAGTGATACAGCATGTTACTCAAGTCATTGCCCACACCACCAATGACATGATGTACAATATGGCCAGATTGTGTACAATGAATTCCTTTAGTGTTGCAATGGTGTGCTCAAAAAAAATCTAATACTATACTGTGAGTCAAAACCCACTTCTATCAATCCCTTGCTTGTTTTAAGCAAAGGGTAAATAGGAAACCAGTGACCTGAGAACATTCTGCACTTTATTGTAATGATAGCCAATTTATTTCCAGTTTACTATGTTACCTGTGTGTCAAATTGTAAGATGGTATGAGCATTCCTGTTCAAGTCCAGTATTATGTTGTTATTCTTTAGTATATTTGCTGTGCCACTTGGCTGAAGCTGTGCCTAGTCTGCAGTGGTAAGAAAACAGAATAAAATGTAAACATAAAAAAATATTTAATATTTAGGGGGGTTATTCAACAGGGATAAGGTCCTATTGAGAAGCTTATACCACCAAGCAAATTAAATATACCCAGGGTATCTTTTCATTATCTGGCTTCACCTAACCTAACAACTGCAGTCAGGATAGGTGATCTAAGCCAGCGGTCCCCAACCACCAGGCCGAGGACCGGTACTGGGCCGGGGATCATTTGGCACCGGCCACACAGAAAGAATAAAAACATTTTATTAATTTATTTTATTTCCGCCGGCGTCTGCAGGGTGTTTTATTTTGAAAAATGACTAGCTCGTCTACATTGACTTCCGCCTGTGCTTGTTTCCAAACTTGACTGTCAGTTTTCATGCCCGGCTGTCAGTCCAACTGCTGCCGAGATGAATTAAAAAAACAAACTTCTCTGGTGAGCTTCTTTGAAAAGGGGGAGCTCAGAGGTTGCATCTCCCAAGAGCTCCAAGAGCTTCATCATGGAACCTGCCTCTGGTGCTGGAGGCTCTCGGCAGGCCTCCCTTTGAGCCCTTGGCACAAGTAGGGCTGAAGTGGGTGTCATGCAAGACTGCGTTCCTCCTGGCTATTACCTCGGCAAAACGCGTCAGTGAGCTGCACGCCCTTTCTGTCAGCGACTCGTGTCTGAGGTGGAATTCAAATGGTTCAGGTGTATCTCTATGGCCAAATAAAGCGTTCCTCTCTAAGGTGTTGTCACACTCGCACCTCAACCAGCCTATACGGCTTGCACGGCTTAACCCCCCACCAGGAGAGAGGGGGGACAAGTCCCACTGGATTGTGGGCGTCATTCGCCATGCATATGGGGCAAGTAACCATTCTTTGCCAGCAGGCGTGAAATGCCACTCCACCAGGAGTGTCTCTACGTCATGGGCTGCCCTGAGAGGAGTACCCCTAGAACACATATGTCAAACTCAAGGCCCGCGGGCCAAATCCGGCCCGTCACGTCATTTTATGTGGCCCGCGAGAGATGTGTGTTTCCTAATCTGATAAAGTAATAGGATTAATAACACAGCAATGTGCCTACACAGGGCTCCACACTAAGACCAAAATGTTGTCATACGTGACCATTTTTGAGCGTGTGCGAGCTAAAGTTTCACATGGTTGCATTGTGCAAGTGAACGATGATCATCAGGCTGATCTGGTTCCTTCCGTCGGCACAGGTAGCTGCTGCTCCTGTTATTGTGGTTGGAAATAGTCATATTTCTTCCACAGTGACTCAGCCTCTCTCTGTCTGAAGGTAAAACAGTCAGTTTCACTGTTACTGTGTTCCAATGACACAACCATACATAGCCGATTATGTTTTAAAAAAAAAAAAAAAAAAGGAAAAAAAGTGAGCTTTTACAAGATTGAATTTCCCTTCTGGGATAAATAAAGTGTTCAGGTTCAGGCAGACAGATCTCCACTGAGTCAGTTA